CTAGCTGGCATGTTCAGGGAACAGCTTTCTGATGTGCAGAATGGTGAATTCAAACCAGTGCCAGTTGATTTAAGTTCTCATGATCACCAAGGTGTCTTCAACATGTAGGCTATGGCCATCAAGTCTTGCCACTCAAATGACAGAGTAGTAGTCTCTTGAGAACCGCTGTATCTCTCTAATGTGCTCTAACTCACCTAGAGGACTTTATGTCCAACACACCTTTATCTAATTTTTTTGCCTCTAATAGCCTTTTCACCTACTTTTTATTACCTGTGTTCATACAAGTGTCAGAGCTTCAGCTGGCCAGACAGATATGTGGATTTCTCTTGGAGATACTTCAGTTAGGTGATTTTTTTTTATGTGCTCTTGTTCATTAGTGTAACATTGCCTAATCATGTAATGTGCTAATGAAGGCCTCATCCCTGACATTCATGCACTGGGGACATTCCGAGGCGTGCTCTGTCTCCATCAACACTGGCCAACAAAGAGTCGACACGCTAACAGTACCTGTTGCAACCTAATTAAAAGTCTGCCTATGTTTTCTACCCAGTGTTGAAAATCTTCCAGAGCACATACTCACAACTCACTGATTTGGTTATCAATGTATGGATACTTGGTCTGTTCTGTCTCAGTGTCCACTTTATCCCAGAGAGCCTTCACCACTTCTGCTTTATCATCACATAGCTCACCACCCAGAGGGTGGCAGCAGCCAGTCTATCAGCTTGCTTATTACCCGGCACACCCAAATATCCTTGACAGAAATCCATGACATACTCCAGATCAGAGTCATAATAAGTGAAGCAAGCCTCTCAATGCATAGCAGGCTGGTTTTTATTTTCTGAAGCATGTCCTCTGTTACAATGACTAAATATTGGGCTGTACTGCTCTCAAGCCATAGGAAAGCTGAGGTTACCATTTCTACCTCCATTCTCATCTTGGATGTTGTGGTCTCTCTGTTTTTAAACAGTGTCCAACAACCTTTGCAATAAAACTCCACCCATTGTTTTTCCCCTCACTACAGACCCATCTGTGAATATAACAATGTCTTCCGGGTGTGCATTTTTAGTGAGCAACTCCTGCACTGATGCTGCCGTTTCACCAGCAGCTATAGTCTTCTGGAGCTCTCGGTCAAAGGTAACTATCACTTTGTGCAAGTCTGTTTTGCTGGGCAGTGCTGTAACCCATTCCTCACCATGGATAATCTTGCCAGGAGCACAAACAGTTCTGATCATGACTTCTGCCTTTGCCATCCAAGAGCTACCTCTTTTCAGCCAATGCCCCTTGCTATCCCCCAAGGTCTCATGTCGAAGGTGTTCCCTGTCCGTTGCGACTTTAAGGTACATTTTCACCTGTAACACCTTCTATTTTTCAAATGCGGACGGCAATGCAAGTATGTGCGGCATTCATACAATTGGTGTGTCCCATGTATATCCCAAAAAGACTTGCATGGCTTCATTTTTGCATGCATTCTAGCTTCTCTATTTGACTGTCAAGCAAACAGTTATCTGGTTTCTCTTAATTGTATCCCACTCCAATACGTGGAGTCATACACCTATTTGGGCAGTAACGTAGATAAAGATAGGGGAACTGACAAGAGATTTTAAAATATAAATACAAAAGCAAGAGGAGCTTTCATAGCACTGGGAAATTCATAAAGAACAGAAGATAAAACTAATACTAAACTTACAGATTGTTTTTTTTATGTCAGATCACTAGTCTGTATGGAGCAGAAACATAGAGAACAACTAAAACAATTACTAATAAACTACAATCATTCATTGATTTCTGCTTGTGCAGAATACAGGGAATTAAGTGGTATGATAGAATCACTAATGTTGAGCTTTGGAAGAGAACTAAAGAAGTTCCTGTGGACCAAAAGGTGAAGAAAAGATGCTGGCACTGGTCAGGAAAATACTGAGAAAACCTGAGAGCAAAATAACTAGTATGTCTTTTGCACAGGAACCCACAGGGGCATAGAAAAAAAGGCAGACCAAAAAACATATGCAGAAAGGAGCTAGAGAGTAAGGTTAAGCAGCCAGTGCAAAGCTCCAATTCTGATGGTATTAGTAGCAATATAATTTTATGTCCCTCTTGCCTTTCACTTTAGTGTTGAGCATCAGCCAGATCCCCTGGTCACCTCTACAAACAAACTGCACAAGCAGAAAATATTTCAAAAAAACAGAAAAGCAATTACACTTACCCTCCATCCCCCTGCACTAGCCCACTTGGAAAGTCCTGAACTTAAGATTGTACCCTCAGGGTAAAACTGTGAATAAATAAAAAATTTTTAACATTATATTATCAGATGCCATGCCAAATAGTGTATGCCATTATAGTTTGCCATCTCACACAATCATCAGAATCATGGATCAGCCAATAAACTTGTCCTACTTCAGCCATATACCCGATGGCCAAGCCATCCAGGTATATACAGCTTTGTCTTCTCCTTGCACTTTTTTTTATTAAATTCTGACACTTTTTACCAATGTGTCTATGGTCAAGGTGGCCAGAAAGCAAGAAGACTGACTGTAAAACAGAACTATAGCTGTTAGGTAGTAGTAGAAGAGGCAGCAGCAACAAATAGAAAAAACTGCAGCCTTAGCAAATATTATACAGAAAAATTAATGTATTGCTTTGTAAAGATATAAAGATTACCAGCAGCAGTAAGAGGAGTGTCTTAGTTGTGATGGCGGTGGGCAAAATACTAATCTTAGATCATAAGGGGGGTTATAGTGGTGGTGGGGGTAATAGTAGTGGGGGTCATAGTGGGATGTGGTTGTGCAGGTGGTGGGAAGTGGTTGTGCAGGTGGTGGGAAGTGGTTGTACAGGTGGTGGGAAGTGGTTGTACAGGTGGTGGGTTGTGGTGGGTAGTGGTTGTACAGGTGGTTGGTTGTAGTGGAAAGTGGTTGTACAGGTGGTGGGAAGTGGTTGTGCAGGTGGTGGGAAGTGGTTGTACAGGTGGTGGGTTGTGGTGGGAAGTGGTTGTACAGGTGGTGGGTTGTGGTGGGTAGTGGTTGTACAGGTGGTGGGTTGTAGTGGAAAGTGGTTGTACAGGTGGTGGGCTGTGGTGGGAGGTGGTTGTGCAGGTGGTAGGTTGTGGTGGGAAGTGGTTGTGCAGGTGGTAGGTTGTGGTGGGAAATGGTTGTACAGGTGGTAGGTTGTGGTGGGAAGTGGTTGTGCAGGTGGTTGGTTGTGGTGGGAAACTGTAACAGCAGAGACAGATGAAGAGACAGAGCAACAGCAGTAAGAGAAGTAGCTGTAAAGAGAGAGGGTGGCTCAGTAAGAGAAGTATAGTAAGAGAAAAAGGAGCAGCAGTACAGGGGTAGTGGTGGAGGAGCAAGAGGAGTTGAAAGCAAAGCTACAAGAAAAACAGCAACAGAAGAAGTAGGAACTAGAGTAAGAAATGGAGAAAGAGAAAATATTTAAAAAATCTGTACTAAAAGTATGCAGCAGCAGCAAGAGGTAAAACAGCAGCAGAAGGAGGAATAGTGACAGATAAAGTAGGGATAGTTAATGTGTCTGGAGGTACTTTAGGTGTTTAGAGATTGTTTAGAGATGTTTACCTTTGACAAAAGTGCATGATTTCCCCTGTAATGAAGCCTGGCATAAATCTCATCACTGAGAACAAGGATATTGTGTCTTCTGAACACTTCTCTGCAACATTATATCAAGCATCAAAGCTACATCCTAGAATGGTAACAATGCAGCTACATCCCAAAATCATAACAATGAAGCTACATCCTAGAATTGTAACAATGAAGCTACCTACTAGAATGGTAATACTGAAGCTACATCCTAGGATGGTAATACTGAAGCTACAGCCAAGGATGGTAGCAATGAAGCTTCATCCTGGAATTCTAGCAATGAAGTTACATCCTGAATGGTACCAATGAAGCTATGTTCTAGATGGTAATACTGAAGCTATATCCTAGAATGGTAATACAGAAGCTACATCCTTGGATGGTAATACTGAAGCTACATCCTAGAATGGTAACAATGAAGCTACATCCTGGAATTATAGCAATGAAGCTACATCCTAGAACAGTAGCAGTTAAGCTACATCCTAGGATAGTAATACTGAAACTACATCCTAGAATGGTAATAATTACGCTAAATCCTGGAATGGTAACTCTGAAGCTACATCCCAGAATGGTAGCAATGGAGCTCACCCTAGAATGGTAATTCTGAAGCTACATCCCAGAATAGTAGCAATGGAGCTCACCCTAGGATGGTAATACTGAAGCTACATCCCAGAATGGTAGCAATGGAGCTCACCCTAGGATGGTAATACTGAAGCTACATCCTAGAATGGTAGCAATAAAGCTAACCCCCAAAAAAAATGAAGGGCCCTTTCTGGGCTGATACTAAACTGATACTTGTACAGACCACTGGTTCTGCACCAGTGGGTAGTGAACATATGCATGACAAGCTAGATATGGTCAAGGCCCTTTGGGAGCAAATGAGCAATGTGGAGGCATGAACAGATTGTTTTGGTCTGGAAGGAATGGTACAGCTGAAAGTGACCGGGGGATCTGGTGACGTTCTTCACTCAGAGGAAAGCCAAGACGGACGTATAATCAAACTGCTATTAACAACATCAGAATTGGAACTCTTCATAAGCTGCTGAAGATGAGGACAGAGCACTTATTAGAATGCCATGAGTGCTGTGATGTCAGTTGTTACCTCAACACTCTACAGACAAACTGGCACTTGGTGGGTGATGTAGCCAACATTATGTCAGCCACCTTTACTTCCAGGACATGATCCGGCACTCACTTTAGGCTGGTTTGACCCATTAGCAAAGGTTTATTTTGACAAATCTGACTTGATGTGGATATTCAAACCAAAAACGTTTGAGCCAGCAGGTGAGAGCATCTAGCTGCTACGCCACCTGGTTCCTCATGTGTAGTTTAGTCACTGCTAGAGACATATTGAAAACTCCCTCACTTATGAATAAACCACAGTATGACCATACACAAAATTTAAAGCTATCTACTCACGTTAGTTTTCTCAAGTGTTCTTCCGTGTAGTTTGTACCAGCTGACGGAATATCCGAAACAAGTTGTAAACACAAAAGAAAATTTGAAATTCTTAAAATTATCTTAATTTTTGTGTTTTTAATCCTTAACCAGCAAAAACAAGCATCATGTTTGTGAAGAAATGAATTACTCATTGAGTTAAACATGGGAAACAAACAGGCAAACAGACTGGCTGGCTGGTGCTGCACCATTGGTCAATTGATCCATGATAGGCTAGATGTGGTCAAGGCTCTTTAGGAGCAAGGAGACAATGCAGAAGGGTGAAAAGGTCATTACAGTGTGGAGAGAATAGTACAGCGAGGAAGACCAGGAGATCTCATTGACTCTCAACAGAGAAAAGGTAGACATTCAGATTGCTACTGATATCACCAGAACTGGAACTCTCCACTGGCTGCTAAAGATGGGGGATTTATCACTTATGGGAGAGCTGTGAGGTCAGTCTTTAACTCAGATAAGCTCAGCTGATTTAAGCATAGGGCTATCATCTGTGCCGACCATCTTTCCTTCAAAGAATTCTGAAAATCATCTTGTACCTAATTTTATTAGTTTGGGTAAATCCCAGATCCTTGATAGTTGAAAACATAATCTTTTCCCTGCTAGGGATTGAATAAAACCAGTCTTGCCAGGCAAGCAGAAAAAAAAATTTAAAAACTTAAAATGTTCCCCATATTGTATTCTAAAAATCTATAACAATAAGAAGCTGTCACAGAAAATAAAAATCCACTACATGTACAGATTTACAGAAATTAGAAGGAATAACAGAACATAAAATGTTCTAAATAATGTGTTCTAAAACTCACTAGGATTGCAAGGATTGGCCATGATAAGAAGTTTATGATGACTCAAACTGTTCTCTTGCATCACCTAACAATAAATAATAAACAATGATAATGAACATATACCTGGCGTGTCATAAGGAGAAGCAGACAGAGGAAAACTAAACAAGCACTGAAATAAGAAACAGATGAAAAAACAAGGACATGTGACGAAAACTTTTGAGAGCGGCCAAATGTGGTGAACTACAAATCCATCCATGATAAGAAAAGAATTGTAAAGGATAGAATGGAAGGGAGAACTTTAGATATAATGGCATGACAGAATGATAATAATCAGAGCTACAATATACAGATATGTTTGCTCAGTTACATGTTTTGATCGATCGGTCAGTTGTACCCCATTTAGGCTGCCACATAAAGGTTTACCGTACCATCCAGAGATTTAAAAAAAAATCTCAATCAGTTATTTCTCCCCAGTGAGATGTGGATGAATGTGGTAAAACTTGGTGTCAAGCATAGATGTTCGACCACAGCAAAATGGATACCAGGAAATTCCCTGGAGAGTAAAGGCAACGTTAGGTTCAATCCCATTATGAGTGGAGAGACATTTGTGCCCAGGGCAAGATAAAATTTTAATTTTTATTTTGGTGAAACATGTATGGAGTTGCAGTGTCTGTATCACCCACAGCCATAGAAAATTTAGTTATCCTTGAAACTTCAATAACAAATCTATGTATTATAGTTTCAAGGGGCTATGCCGTCATAATCACTATTAATAAAAGTTTTATTACACTATTACAGCTTCAAATGTGAGAATATTAATAATTATAATAGGGTAAATTAACTGTTATCTGCATCAGCTGAAATTAAAATCAGGAGTATGAAAAAATGGAAATAATTCAAGAAGGATAAACGAAAAGAAGGAAGATGCAAACCCTTTCAAGACCTTCAGGGGTGATTCGCCAGTCATCCTTCTCTCGACTGTCAATGATGAAGGGGGTGTGCCCTGTAAGGATGGCTTGAGCTTTATATGATGTCCAGGAGGGTGAGTTCAGTAATATATCTGAAGATGAATGAATGAACAAACAAACAAATTTTATCTTCAAAGTGTTAAAAATCGAGCATGCAGAACACCTGCCCCTTTGGCCTCACTCCTTGTATACTATCTTTCATTACCACATCTTTTAATATGTAATAAAAAACATCAAACCACCCTCCTCCCCCACCCCCCTTCCCCTAAGTTTGTAATTACAAATGCTGGAATATGCTTGAATTATACCTATATTTCTAAACAGTAATAGATCTCAGTGAAAAATTCTTAATCATTGTAATAAATCTAGAGGAGATAAACAATATGTACAACAAGGTAAGAATCCTTCTTAACAGGTGATAATAGATGAGGGTATTGACTAACACTACTAATGAAGAAAAGAATGAAGTAGAGATCAAAGGATATCCTAGACACTGACAATAGTTCAAAGCACACTTGTTCCTTCAGCAAAGTGATGTTGTTATTTCTGTGTGCCTAAAGCTTTTAGTTTGTTATATACTATTATATATACAGCGGCATCCATGGCTTAGGCATTGCGAATCAGACTCGTAATTCCACCATACCGCGATCGAAACCCACTGCTGGTTGCGTGAATTTGTATCATGGTACGGGGCGTTGCAGGTCGACCCAGCCTAAAATTGGTACCAGGATGTACGTCCTGGGAAACTTAAGACAGCCGGTGTAATGCTGACCACTTTACCCAACTAGCGCTGATTGGTCTGTACAAATATGGGATGCTCTTCCCAAATGCCCAATGCGCCTAAGACGTGAAAAGGGATCTTCACTTTACTTTTATTATATATATATATATATATATATATATATATATATATATATATATATATATATATATATATATATATATATATGTATGTATACATATATCCGTTTTTTTTTTAAACAGAAATTTTGAAAGGAACATAATTTGTCATAATTCTGACACTCAAAATCTTTTTATTTAATGTGTGAAACTGTTCAAATGTCACACAAGAGTACCTTAGGGTTTAACTAATCAATTGACAGTTTTGTATCTCGGCCATTGATTGTTTTTAGGCACACTGGCTTTTCCGCCAGCTATTAAAAACATGTCAACGGATAGCTGTGTTATTTTTTTTTTTTAATGTTTTCTTAACTGTACATTATCTAACTGATCTCCGATCTCATCTTCATTCCTTTCTTCATTGTAATTCTTCTTATTGATCTTCTGCATTTACTCTTAAAAGGGTTGTTGGGATGAATGTTGGGCTGTGTTTTACAGATATGATACTTCGCTATTTGTGCTTTTTGGCCCAGCATTTTTAGTCTGATTTTAGCAAAACCTTTATTTTTTGCTTTTATGACATGCTTGTTAAAGGGTAGTAGGTCTTTTACACCTCTTCTTCCCCCCCCCCCTCCCTCCACCCAACCCCTCAAAGGAATTCAAATAGTAAGTGCTCCTTTACTCTTAGCAATTCCACAGTTTTACAGCAGTTATGCCCATTTTATTGCTTTGTATGACTTAATACTCAATTTGCAGGATACTCTCGGCAAGATACTTGTTTCTGACCATGGTTATATGTTGCATTTTGCCCATATGAGGACTGAAACTATATAGTGCTTTCACCCACCAAGTGAGTTGAAGGCATTGTGCGACACTGTGAGTTAAGGAGGTTATTTGGAATGGTTTTCGACTGTGCCCAAGGTAGATTATGTGAGCTTAAGAAAATGGCAAGTGATCGGTTGCCAGAGAACCGATGGTGCCTTATGCAATATTGCATGACCAAATGTCAACTTTATTTGTCATAATGACCATCTGCAACTTTAGTGGTGGACTGTTTGTGTTGGAACATATGATCGCTAGATTTAATGTGTATGTATACTACTGGCATTACCAAGACCGCAGTCTGTTTCAAGCGTTAGAGATAGACATTCTGTGTGATTATCAGTGAAACAGGAATTGAGGTATGGTGCTTTATTAATATCCTACCCCAAACAGGGAAAATCCACAGGTCACGGGACAGTCTAATATTTCAGGGGGTGATAGATAGGCTGCACGCAGTTGTGGGACCTAGGCTGCATGCAGTCATGGGACCTAGGCTGCACTCTCTCATGGGACATAGGTGGGTTGACAATAGGGCCAGTTCTAGATGTTTTGGGGTTGTTAAAAGCATCAGAAAGCTTGAAAACCCAGTTTTACCACCTCTAAAATGTTGGACTGTTCTGTGACGTCATCTGGGGTAGGATATTAATAAAGAACCGGAGCTATTATAGGATTACCTGTTCGCAGGAAGTTGGAACTGCAACTTTAACTCAAATTCTAACTAATACTTATTCAAGCAACCCATTCAACATCGACACAAATACACCCACATATAACTTACCTCCATTAAAAATTAACATAAGAAGGAATATTAACTCTTTGCTGCCAGGACCGACTATGATGTTTTCAGAGTCAAAGGTTATGCCATCATAATGTTTGTGGAAATTACAGATCCCTTGACGAAGCTCTGGGATACCTGTGGTTTAATTCTATATAAATTGTTTTGGTTTAGAAAGAAAGACAAAATATAACCTGCGATACATAATGCTAATAATTATTTTTGTTATATGAGACTGCCACGTGAACATCTTCGAAAAGATGTATACTCATCTGCACCAAATTATAATACTTTATTTGTAATGAGTCCATATTTGAAAGTGAAATGACACCACCAGTACCATATACTTTTACTTTTAGCCAGACTATACTGTAGAACAGTGATTCCCAAACTATGCGCTGCGGCACCCCAGGGAGCCGCGACCTCTTCACAGGAGCACCGCAAAATATTCAAAGATACACAAGTTTTTTTTTTGTTTTAAATCTCTTACATATGAACAGGTTACTTAGGTTAGGGCGCAGTGAAAAAATTTTAACTGGAAAAAGACGCCGCCACTAAGAAAAGTTTGGGAAACACTGCTGTAGAGTGCTCTTTTTAACTATGCAAAGAATACGCTTTTCAAGAAGAAAAATCTTTTTAACTATGCAAAGAATACGTTTTTCAAGAAGAAAAATGCAAGTATTATTACAACTCAAGAGAGCAGGAGCAGCTTTTCTTACAATGTTTCTTGTGTCTGCACTAAAGGCATATGTTCAGCCTAGTCCTCTGTGTGTGTATGTGTGTGTGCGCGCACACCTGTGTGTGCATGTGTGTTTGTGTGTATATTCATGTACAGTCATTCTGTTCGCTGATGGTGTTGTTATTATTGTACTCTTCATCTGGAGGACAGAAACACTGTCCTGCCTCTGACACACACATACTGGCACACACAGATTCACACACACACTATAAGCATTTCTGTAGGTCCCTACACCTCTTTCTTCCACATATTGTGTATTATACGGTGTTAACAATGCATGTCTGAGTAAGTCTGTGTTAACTGACCTGTCATAAGTGTATGTTGTTGTGTGTGGATAGGTTAGTATTGAGACTACAGAAAGGTCTTTGCTTTCTTCTGTTACCACTTTAGCTTTCTTTTGTAAAGTATTAATCTTTAATGGCTCAAGCAGAAGGCCCTGGTCCTCATAGTCATAATGAGTGCCAGCTGTCAAAAATCAACCAAACACATCCATACCAGACTCATCAGCTGACCAGCCAAACATATCCATGCCAGACTCATCAGCTAGAAAACCAAACATATCCATGCCAGACTCATCAGCTGGAAAACCAAACATATCCATGCCAGACTCATCAGCTGACCAACCAAACATATCCATGCCAGACTCATCAGCTGACCAGCCAAACATATCCATGCCAGACTCATCAGCTGACCAATATCAACTAAACACATCCACATCAGCTGACCAACACCAACCAAACACATTCATGCCAGATTCATCAGCTGACCAACACCAACCAAACACATCCATACCAGATTCATCAGCTGACCAACACCAACCAAACATATCCATGCCAGACTCATCAGCTGACCAATATCAACTAAACACATCCACATCAGCTGACCAACACCGACCATATACATCCATGCCAGATTCATCAGCTGACCAACACCAACCAAACACATCCACATCAGCTGACCAACACCGACCATATACATCCATGCCAGATTCATCAGCTGACCAACACCAACTAAACACATCCACATCAGCTGACCAACACCAACCAAACACATCCAAATCAGCTGACCAACACCAACCAAACACATTCATGCCAGATTCATCAGCTGACCAACACCAACCAAACACATTCATGCCAGATTCATCAGCTGATCAACACCAATCAAACACATCCATACCAGACTCATCAGCTGACCAATATCAACTAAACACATCCACATCAGCTGATCAACACCGACCAAACACATTCATGCCAGTCACATCAGCTGACCAACACCAACCAAACACATTCATGCCAGACTCATCAGCTGACCAACACCAACCAAACACATCCACATCAGCTGACCAACACCAACCAAACACATTCATGCCAGACTCATCAGCTGACCAACACCAACCAAACACATCCACATCAGCTGACCAACACCAACCAAACACATCCACATCAGCTGACCAACACCAACCAAACACATTCATGCCAGATTCATCAGCTGACCAACACCAACCAAACACATTCATGCCAGATTCATCAGCTGACCAACACCAACCAAACACATCCATACCAGACTCATCAGCTGACCAATATCAACTAAACACATCCACATCAGCTGATCAACACCGACCAAACACATTCATGCCAGACACATCAGCTGACCAACACCAAACAAACATATTCATGCCAGACTCATCAGCTGACCAACACCAACCAAACACATCCACATCAGCTGACCAACACCAACCAAACACATTCATGCCAGACTCATCAGCTGACCAACACCAACCAAACACATCCACATCAGCTGACCAACACCAACCAAACACATCCACATCAGCTGACCAACACCAACCAAACACATTCATGCCAGATTCATCAGCTGACCAACACCAACCAAACACATTCATGCCAGATTCATCAGCTGACCAACACCAACCAAACACATCCATACCAGACTCATCAGCTGACCAATATCAACTAAACACATCCACATCAGCTGACCAACACCAACCAAACACATTCATGCCAGACTCATCAGCTGACCAACACCAACCAAACACATCCACATCAGCTGACCAACACCGAACAAACACATCCATGCCAGACTCATCAGCTGATCAACACCAACTGAACACATCCACATCAGCTGACCAACACCAACTGAACACATCCATGCCAGACTCATCAGCTGATCAACACCGACCAAACACATCCACATCAGCTGACCAACACCAACCGAACACATCCATGCAAGATTCATCAGCTGACCAACACCGACCATATACATCCATGCCAGACTCATCAGCTGACCAACACCGACCAAACATATCCACATCAGCTGACCAACACCAACCGAACACATTCATGCCAGATTCATCAGCTGACCAACACCAACCAAACACATTCATGCCAGATTCATCAGCTGACCAACACCAACCAAACACATCCATACTAGACTCATCAGCTGACCAATATCAACTAAACACATCCACATCAGCTGACCAACACCAACCAAACACATTCATGCCAGACTCATCAGCTGACCAACACCAACCAAACACATCCACATCAGCTGACCAACACCGAACAAACACATCCATGCCAGACTCATCAGCTGATCAACACCAGCTGAACACATCCACATCAGCTGACCAACACCAACTGAACACATCCATGCCAGACTCATCAGCTGATCAACACCGACCAAACACATCCACATCAGCTGACCAACACCAACCGAACACATCCATGCAAGATTCATCAGCTGACCAACACCGACCATATACATCCATGCCAGACTCATCAGCTGACCAACACCGACCAAACATATCCACATCAGCTGACCAACACCAACTGAACACATCCATACCAGACTCATCAGCTGACAAACACCAACGGAACACAACCATGCCAGGCTCATCAGCTGACCAACACCAACCAAACACATCCATACCAGACTCATCAGTTGACCAACACCAACTGAACACATCCATGCCAGACTCATCAGTTAACCAACACCAACCAAACACATCCACATCAGTTGACCAACACCAACCAAACACATCCACATCAGTTGACCAACACCAACCAAACACATCCATGCCAGACTCATCAGCTGACCAACCAAACACATCCATGCCAGACTCATCAGCTGATCAACACCAACCAAACACATCCATAACAGACACATCAGCTGACCAACACCAACCAAACACATCCACATCAGTTGACCAACACCAACCAAACACATCCATGCCAGACTCATCAGCTGACCAACCAAACACATCCATGCTAGACTCATCAGCTGATCAACACCAACCAAACACATCCATACCAGACACATCAGCTGACCAACACCAACCAAACACATCCATGCCAGACTCATCAGCTGACCAACCAAACACATCCACATCAGCTGACCAACACAAACCAAACACATCCATGCCAGACTCATCAGCAAGTAAAAGCACATCTGAGATCTCAGAGAATGTGAAGATAATACTTAGATCATCACCTAGAGAGTTGTCACGACTTTGATTTCATCAGGAAGTAAAAACAAATTACCTTCACTGTAGCCACCCATCTTTTTCTGTCATAAAGGAACAGTGTATGTAGTTTGTCCTCAAATACAGTTTGTGTTGTGTTAATTTACTGCTTAATTCTAGACATCATGAGAGATAAGGTGGCTGGTCATTGAGGTCTGGAAGAGTTATTTGCTTTCAGCCATGGTTTGCTGGCACAATTTCCCCAATTCAGACACTGTTGGCTGTAGACTCTATGTGGAATGTGTTTTCCTTCTGTGACCATGCAAGCTTTGTTTTGTAAACTCCACTAAAAATTGGGGGGGGGGGGGGGGGGGGGGGGGGGGGGGCACATAAAAAAAAAAATGACATGTGATTTATGCAAATATTTTATGTGAAAATACTGGCTTGTCCTTCAGTCAGCAAATGAGCTGTAATTCTTGTGGTGGACTTTTTGTGTGTGTTTGAACATCTACCTTATGCATTTACTTTGCATTTGTGATCTTCTAGCATGTGCTGGTACTAATCTAATTTTCACAAATTTTCAAATTGGATTGTGAAGGACAATGTGTGCTTCCACTTGGACAGGAACTGAGCAAATATGGTGTGCCCTATGGGCAGCTAATTTGGAATTTAGAATAATGGTTAGCTGCTTGATTAATTCAGTTTTATTAAAAATAACACACAGTTATGAAATGCACAGCATGCAGTCAAAAGCAGCTTTATAATGCTTACATTTTAATTTTCTAAAAACATTGTCAATGAATAAATGTGATGATAATCTTATAGAGGTTTTTGAGATGTGGTGATAGTCAGGATTTAAAAAAGTGCTGATTGAAATAAAAAAGGTGCTGACTGAAACACTGACAAGCATATTCATGGGACAATAGTTGTGAAGATGACAACAATTAAATGTTTTTTAAAATATGATGTTCTTGCAGGCTTCTATATCACAGGCAGGTGTTATATTAACCCCCTGTATCTGAATTATTTGTTTAACTACTTCTGTCCTATCGTGCCTCTGTTGAACTCTCTTAAACCGGAATATATATATTGTTTATAAGCTTATCTCCTTGGGACAGATGGAGTTAAAGCAACAATTGCTTGAGAGACTGAAAGAGTTAAATGGTTGATTTTTTTTAAAAACTGAGCTGAATTTACTACAGGAGCTGTAGATGGAAAAAAGGATAAGAGACAGACCAGGAAAGACCTGGATATAGATTTTTCTTAATGGACAGGCTTGGTCATTAGACACGGTTTCATCTTCACTGCAGATGGTCACCCCATAATTGCTCCATTCCTGTGCCAGTTTAAGGTACACAGTCCCATTTGAAAAAAACCTAGTGAAAAACATTTCAGTCCCAGCAAAATCTTGAACCTAGCATATGCAAATTAACTGCATAAGTCAGCCATAATTTGTGCTAACACTAACAGTCTCCTGCTAGAATTGCAGCTCACTATTGGACATGCTTCAAACAGGCAAACATCAAGTTCTTTGCTAGACAGCAAACAGCAACTGGTGACCCAACGACACGCAGTTTTATGGGACTATGATAAAGTAAATTACCTTGTACTGCCAGGTAGGCACTTTCCTTGGCATGTTTCTTGAGAGCTTCCACTGCAACTTCCAGCACCGGAAATGGGGCTTGTCCAAATCCAAAGTGGTAGATTGTGTGACCCTACATGATATAAAAATAATTAAATGATGCCAGAAAACTATCACAGTCATCCTGTACCATGTCAATAAGGACAGGCAGACCATGGTTGCCACGCCATACAATCACCAGAATCGCAGATCAGGTCACTGCTCTTGATCATGGTTTATCTTTGTCATCTTGAAAAAAGTAATTTGTTACTGCTTTCTTCTTTCTTGGCAAGACAATACTGGTTGAATGACTGCATTCAGAAAACTATAGCAACTTACATAAATATAAAGACTCATACAACAAACTCTGCAATAAAATGTCAACATGAACCTTTACTTAGGGCTGAACTTGGAATCTAACTGTTCTTAAAAGAATCTAACTCTGTTCTTATAAGTTTTGTTCAGCAGGTTTGTTTACCCGAGGAAATAGAACCTGGTGAGAAATGGGTACAAATACTAAAGGAGTGCAGTAAGACCTTTTCTATTTGCATCCAACTAGACAGAAAATGCAGAAAAGAAAGTCCAGCCGCTGTTGATGCAGAAGTGCAAGCTTTGATTTTTGAGAATTTATTACACTGGGATGTTGTCATTTGCACAGATGAGTCTTTAATTCGCCATGTGAGAAGCGCTTGGACTTTTACGGCTTAGGCTAGAGTTAGAATTGTGAGGCAAGATTCTGTTCCTGTTGCCTTGACCACAAGTAGTCTTACTATGGAGGTCATGGCAGTTAGCAAAGCAATAACATTGCTGGAGACACAGACCTTTTCCAGCGCACGCTTTCTCAGTGACTCAATGAGTATGCTCAGGAAGATAGAGAAGGGCTGGGTCCGAAGACAGTGGTTGGAGTCTCTAGAGCGGTTGAGTTTGACACATATAGTTTCATATTTGTGCTAGGGCATGCAGGTGTGCAAGGAAATGAGCAAGCTGATCAGTTTGCAGGTAAAGCTACTGTGGAGGGCGGACGAGCCATGGACCTTGCTAATAATTTGTGAGAACCAAGTGATGATTGTGAATCTGCAACCATGATAAGACTGCAAGAACAAAATCTTAAGAAGGGTGTGGCCAGACAAGAGTGCTATTCAGGAAGCCAAAGAAGAACAAAAAATCAACACAGAACTGATGTCGTAATCCGATACATACTGCAGGATTTACTAAGGAGGGGATCCGAGCACTTATGGACTGAATGGCTCGATGTACAATTAGGATATAATCTGTTGACTAACAAACAAACTAACTAAGTTTGGTAATTGTTCACCTTTCTGGAACAGATCCACCCACATTGGACTACATGTTACTTAATAACCATTTTGTGGTGACCCAATATAACTGTGCCATATGGCTATATGGTTGAACAAGGTTTCCATAATTTGTTCCTGCCTGATTCTCATTCTTGAGATGTTCTCCTACAGACTGAAACCCTAAGGGAAACAATTTACTTGGAAAAAAAAACACCTAATTTACCTGCCAGTCCACTGGTCTTGTGTCTGTGTATCGCAAAATTATCTGGATAATGGCTACATAAACCCATTGAGTGTCCATCATACCACTGATTTCAACGTCAAGGAAAAATAGCTAGTTAACAGCACCTTAGACCGAAAGCTGAAATATATTTGATTGAATAATTGAATTTCTACCCCACCAGGACATCACACAAGCGATAAACACCCGATGACACAAAGTGCCACCATGTGGATGAGGATCGCCGTGGAGAGGTCCCAGAAACTGCGTTCAGACAATTGGCCATATTTATGGCCTGCCTATATTGCGGCCCCTGGCAAAAGCCAGAGTGGGGCTTCAAATAACAAAAAATTACGTCCTAAAAAGGACGTATGAGTATTACCGCACACTGAAATATATTTGCCACATCAAGTGCCTTCTGTCTCTTATACAGTCAGTCATTTCTGATACAGAGTTCTTGCATACTATGATGCTAGACTATCCAACATCTTTTTCTTCTGTCTCTCTCCACCTTATTTTCATCTCTCACTGTCTTGATACACCCCAGTTTGTCTCTTCTCACAACATGCCTATAGAAGTTGCAAAATTGTCAATGGTCTAAAGATTTCAGCAGATGGATACTACAAGAACATCATCTTCACCACATAGCATGATGACTTTCTAGCAGATCCTTTGTGAAATTAGCTGTCTTCACAGTGTGCCTGAAAGAAATGTGGTCTCTCACCAACCCTCCTGCATCATGCATTTTCTGACCCAAGGTGTCACTTATATCCAGTACCCATCTTTGTGCTGGTTGGCCCTTGCACTTCTTTCTTGATACCATGTCTTCTGCTATTATTCCTTCCATGGAGAGGCACTTGATATGGCCAAAATATTTCTATTTCTGAGACAAAATTCTGTTTACTATCCAATCTTCCTTGATGTTCAGATCTTTCAGAATGTCAGTATTGCTTTTCATTATGGTCCTTGGTATTCTGAGAATCTTTCTATAGTGTTTCAGCTCATTGGTCCCTACAAGAATAGTCTGTTTCCAAGTCTTCTGTGCCATTTCAGTTTAAAGAAGATTTTTAAAAAGTTATTGCTACAGACAAGAACGAACCTGTTTCATGAGAAGTTTTATCCTTTCATTAAAGGCCAAATTGGATGCAGAACCGTATTTTCCTTGAATCAAATCTGGCCTTATGAGTGGTGGTGGTGTGAGGTCTGCCATTTTTGAGTATCACTGAAAGAAAAGTTTGATTGAATGTCACAGAATTCTTTACACACTTTTATGTTCTTTCTTTAACTCTTTCAGCCTTAAGTAGATGTTACTTTAACTTACATTACAAAATAAGACAGATATTACAGGAAGTTTTTTTCTTTCTTTTTTGTTATTCTGAACAAGTGTAATTAGTTTGGTGTCAGTATGAGAGTTGAGAAAATTTATTTGTCAAAAGTTTCTTGGGAGCAACATATCAGCAATGGAGACACTCTCAATTATATACCTTGTCACGACATGTCTTCATAAATATACGGAAGATTTTAGCTAATTATTTTCCAAACGTTAATGAAGACGTTAATGGCAAGGTATTTTACTGAAGGTGTCCCCACTACTGATATGTCGCCTCCAAGAAGCACTTCAGGATTTTCAAATTATTTAAAATCATTTCTCCCAACATTCTTTAACTTTTGAGCCATTATTACAGAAATTTCTGCTTACCTGTTTGTCACAATGAGTTATTAGGTTATAAAATCACAGACACACATTATGACAGGGTATGTACAAATTGCAACCATGATTTTGTTACTCATACAATAAATGTTCAAGTTTGAAGGAGTTAAAATAATAATACTATAAGGCAGATAACATTTGTTATAAAATAACAAAATATATACTTTGAGAACTCGATGAACACTTTATATCCCAAATATAACCTTGGGGGTTGAACAGGATAGTTTTGTAAAAATTACTGCTACAGTGGAATTTCAGTATTCGTCATTAACTCTTTAAGACCCGAGCAATGCTGTCAGCGTTGATTGAGAAGTTCTGTTTTGCCCAAACAACGCTGTCAGCCTCAATCGTGTGTCCCGTACATATTGCTTTGAACACGGCTCCGTACTTGTTTGTAATGTTTGGAACTACGATTAAAGTATTCAGGAAAAGTCACTTTAACGATTTCCTTTTAACAACATTCCGTATTCCAAGCCACATGTGCATAGACTGATAGGATTCATAGCTACAATTTTTTTCAACAGTGCATTTTCTAAGTTCGTTTTCGAGTGCAATGAATACCAATGTTCCAACCACAAGTACAGGTCGCAGAATGCGTCTTTCTGCAGCCAAAGCTCTGAAATTGTTTCAGTCAGATGTTTTTAATTCTGATAATGATAATACAAATTTATATTTATCGGAAAGTGATTCGGAAAGTGAATTTTCACCAGCGAAGCTGAGCGATCAGCTGTTGGAAATCTATAAATACTAATGAGTTTACACAGACAATGTCCACACTGACAATGTCCAATTGCTACTGTATTTATGGTGTAAGAGAAGGAAAGTGCTCCAAACAAAGAGACAGTACTTTACTATGGCTAAGCTACATTGAAATCATTGTAGCTACAGTCTGTATGTAACTGTACAAAGTAAATAGTTTGTGTGTAATGGCATATTTTTCTGCCATTTTGCTCAGCACTCTGTGAGAACTAAGAGCTCCTGAGTGCTAAACTAATCCTGAAACTTATCATAACTTTGGAATTTGTTAGGAAATTGAACAAACTTGGAAGTGTTAAATTTGGATATTCACTACTCTTGTGGCTGCAAAACCATGTTAAATGAAGAATTTGTTTGTAAAATGTTGTTGTTAAATTAACACCTGCTGAATTCTTCTTTCCTACTAACTATAACAAAATTAAACATGCACTTATTATCAGATTCAAAATGTACATTCATTTCTCTTTAAACAAATATATACTTTTATAGGGATTAGAAGTATATTACATTCTCTATTGCCTTTCTTATACACCACCCCCTCTACCATTTTTGTAAAGGGAAATTAATGTGAGCCAAGTCTGTCAAAATACATGGCCTGAAAGAGTTAATCAATTTCTGAGTGGAGGATGAATTTTAAAAAGGATGAAAATCAAGCACATTTTTTCCTATAGGATTCAACTAAAAATGGTTTAACCCATTCCCAGCCACAAATGTTACCTACCTACACACATAAAACAAATTTCACTCGAAAATCAATCTCAGAAGTCATTGTAAATACATTTTAATTAGGCTACATATTATTTACATGTCTTGATGATGATCCTGATTTCCAGACAATCTACCAGCACTTGTTATTAAGTTATTAAATTATCTTTTATTGTGTTCTGCCCCCCCCCCCCCCCTCCCCTCCCCCACAAAACATTCTCATCAAATGAACTGATACACTGATTAACTATATATGTATATCATATGCTCAGTATATAATTAGTCTTCAACTGGTCCCCTGCCCCCTTTTCCCAGGTATTGCTTTCTGGAAGATTATCACCAGTGACTCAAAAAGCCACTAGTCTAACAACAGTCCAACAGAAGCAAATCATTGAAATCCATTTCGAGTAAAATCTGTTTAGTTTTATGTGATAGGCCTATTTTTTTTTAGGGGGGGGGGGGGGGAGATAAAACCCCCTTCCCCTTTCACCGTGAGGCCTGTCGTAGAAGAAGTCTAATTATAGATGTTTCCAGAGAATGACTAATTATAGATGTTTTCTTTGAAGTCGGAGTGCATCTGTTTGAAAAGTGAGGAACAGAAAAAAAAATATATATGTAAAACGGATGTGCACTCAAAACTCAATTTCCATCAAAAAGACCAAAGCCCAGAACCGGAAGAGCAGCCAGAACTTTCCACCAGCGTTTACAGCTAGTGAACGCTAAGAAGCAGACGTCAAATTTGGTTGGGTTGATTGCTGCTGAGTATATAATAATGATATATCGTATAAAATAACAGGAGGGAGATACTCTCGGCGGTGGCGGTAGTCACCGTAAGTGCGCAATTTACATGTGATTGAGGCCCTCTCATGGTGTGTTTTTGGGTGGCATAATATGTGCCCGTTATTCGGAGGATAGCCCTGGATAATTATAATATTACAGTATAATTATAATATACAGTATAATTAACGACACTTTTCTGCGATGTGTTACCTACCACTGGTGAATGTTACCTACAGTACACAAGCACACACAGTCTATCTGTCTACACTTCTCAGTCGGCCACTGCCCGTGTTTCCGTTATACGGTGATGAGCATGAGACAAGATAGGAAAGCTGCTGTAACAATAAACACAAACATGGACTGGCCCCTATCAAAGTTTTACCAACGGCAGACTTTTGCTGACCAGACAGATTTATCGAGGCCGAGACAGTACCAGCGAAGTGGCCTAGATCTGGCTAGATGTGAAACAACTGTCATGGTTTTGAAGGGGTTTATGTTATTTTCTGTCTGGTCCAGACTTAGGCCTTCGGGGGGCTTCAGCTTAACTTTATGGTTGAAAGGGGCTTACAAAGGGATTTGTACATGTAGGATTCTCATCCCTGAGGATAATATCCTGGGGATAATAAACTGTATTTGAAGGTTGCATTTGCTGTAGAGGGGTGGACGTATTTCATTTCATCATTTTCAGCATTTTCTTCAACACCACCCTTCTTCTCTAATGGTCTGAGTAATCAGAAGAAGAAAAAAGCGAAAGGGAAATGCTAGGCAATAGAAACACTGAATTCTTACAGCAATAAGTTAATTAAAGTTGAAAAGACTGGCAACATTGTATTTAGCTTTATTCTGTCTGGCTCGAGTTCTTAGCTCACAGGGAGTGGTAACCTCACAAAAGACTAATTCTGTAGTTCCATCTATGACCCCATGGATATCCCAAAATGACAATTTGAAACTAATAACGCAGTCCTAACCCAACCCCCCCCCCTCCCCAATCCCCCTTTTTCTCCCCTGTCTCCCGAACCCTCTCACAATAATGGTTGGCTACAGTGCACGCACGGTGTGGTATTTCCCATACATACATCCAGGACCGTCTTAACGGCATTATTGGGCCCCTGGAAAACCGATGTGCTGGGGCCCCTACGACAACCACTCACGGGAATGAGATGCAAATGGTCAATAATAGTAGACATATATTTATTTTATTGGCACTTCAACAAAACTTGTGTTAAAGCACAAACACACATTAGATAGTAGAGTATGAAATTGCTACGAACTTCCCATATGGCAAATTACTTGACATATCACTAATCAGCTTGGGGCCTCTAGTCTCGTAGGGCCCCCGGGTAAGCGTTCTAAAAAAAAAAAAACACCCAACTCTAGCCTCATTACACACACGGCACACTCTCTCACCCACCCCCATACAGTCTGAAAGAGACTGAGGCCCACCAGGCGTGGTGTAGCGGCGGGATCGGAAGGACGTGGGTTCAGGTCCTGACGGAGCCGGACTTTTTTTGTTGTTGTTGTGTTAAACAAACGTTAGTCTCCCCACAGAAAGTAGGTCACATTCCATTATAACTTTCTTGGACTAGTCTAAGCTGATGGATGTTATGTGTGTGGCGCTAAGGTTATTTTCTTTATGGGATGTCTTGCATTTACTTGTTTATTCCGAGAAAGGGGATGCCTTTGACGTAGGTTTCATCACTCTCTAAAGTGGCTGTGTCTTAGACCCAGTTTGTCAATGTTTTTGTAGTGTTAAAGGCGCTGGCATGCTGAAATATAGAAGACGCGATATCAACGGCATTGGTGAACACACCCGTCACCTTGTGCCAAGTATGGTTGGCTCGAGGCCGACCAATCAGGATTGAGCTAGGCTGAAGTTCGACCAATCAGAAGTCAGCTAGTGTATACATGGGCGGTCCGTGAGGGAGGAAGGAAGGGGGGGGGGGGGACTAACGTTTCTATTACGCTTTTTTTTTCCTTAAAAAAATTACCTCGGCTCCCATATCGATCCAACGTGAACCCTGTCGCTGAAACATACCCCCAAAAATGCGTTGGCGTTGCAGGCTATAGTTTGTTCACCCAAAAACATTCACCCTAGAAATATTCACCCTAGGGAGGTTGGTTGTTGGCCCTAGTGCTGACAGACGCAGTATGGCCATGCTAATAAACCTCGCCTTTACTGAAAGGAAACAGTACCAATAGATTTTGTTTGTCGGCTTCACTAGGAATAGTGAAAGAAAATGTCTCCTCTGTTAAGTCTA